ACGATTCAGCTCGATCAGGCCCGTTCTGCATCGGCACCTCCCAACACCGAACGAGTTTAGCTGGTCACATCGCGATGGCATATTCCTATATAAATAATAACCCGATTTTGAACCGCGGCGGACATGTTTCTCAGTAATTGTCCCTTCCCCCGAAAGACAGCACAATCTGACGCGCAGAATGCTTTTAGGAAACTCGGTAAGGCAGGATTCCTGTACATAATTTCAACCGAGCCGTCTGCAGATCTTGTGACTCCATTTCAATCTGTGAACCCTGATTTCTTGTTTTCGTTAAATAGTAATGTGGATGAGCTTTTGGAGCTCATCCTGAATTGGTTCAAAGTGAGGCATCCCGCTTCTCGCTTGCATAATCTCCCATTGATTAGATTTAGCAAATTCGGCCCCTTCCTGAAGAGCTGATTCATCGCTGGGAAGACTACCGTCCCATGAACATGTCCCACAAAATTTGGTCTCGACCAGGACCCTGGTTTATTCGGTTGTAGGTCGAATATGAATTCGGGCTATCCAAATTGAATTGTCCGAACTTTCGACACCGTCTGGCACCCAGATTCTGTCCGAACTCTGCTGCCAACGTATCTTGGGTCCAGAATTTGTGCGAATTTTGCTTCTGACCTCAAATTTGAAAGATTACCCAAAGTTTTCTCACCCGCAAAGGATTCCCAGAACATTGCAGTATACTCCTAAGATCATTTGTTGGCCTTGTCCGACGTGCAAGATTTCTATGAGGCATCTGAGAAGGTTAAGAAGGTTCACAGGGATCACTGAGTCGGCCACATGAGCCATTGCATTAATGAATTTATGTTTCTCATCGTTCAAAGAGTGCTTTGAAGCTCGCAAGAAACTGCGAGCACGGAGCTTGCCTGGAAGTGAATCCCCTCGGCAGCCGGAGCCTGGTATCCCATTTTCTTCTTGAAATCCCGCGGGCCAAAGACGCTACGATCCAGTCACCAGGGTGGGGCAATTCCATGTCGAGGATCCTGGAGAGCATTTATTCAGTACTGACATAGGAGCCCGTATCGACGAGGGGCACGTCACCCTCCCCCCATATTAGGGGTGGATACAATTTGGTGCGACAAGGATTTGGAGGTTCGAGTCCTCCCGCGGGCGTGGATGGAGTGAAAGTTAAGAATTTTGGGGGTAGAAGCACCCAACCAAATGTGCACATGTGGAAAGAGACGCACGGGTACGTACGCTGAGAAAATGAATCCACAATCCCAAAATCATCGAACCAACGCCCCGCGCAACCAATCTTGGAAAAAGACTTGTGTGGTCTCTGAATACTTACCAAATCAGATTCAACTCGCATATCCCGGCAGCACAGACAATTCCAGACATCCCAGCTTACGAGAGACTCGATACCATGCTTCAAGCCCGTATGGACAACTTGCGTGTCGCCCTGGTTTGTTACGGTCGGTAAGGCATACCACAGGGAGGTGGAGGTTCGAATCCTTCCGCGGGCATGGGCCGAGGAAGGACAACACTTTTTTTTCAAACTGTACACTTCCAGTCGCGCAGGGAAGTACCAAGGGCCGATATCGCCTTTGAATGATTGATGAAATGCTGTTCGAATCGAGGGGTTGATTTTTGTGCTGCGGGCCCCGGGAGGTTGTCGGATATCTAACGGCTCGAGTTATAAATGAACTAGCATGAACCCGTGCTTCTCACGGAAAGCAACTACAGAATAAGCGGCCAGATAAAGACCTGAGAGCTAAATGCAGCAAACATACCAGGAAAGCCTCAAAGCTGTTAAACTCGGAATTCCCCAAAGACACTCGTCACCAACCGAAGGTTGGTTCCTCGTGTCTCTCATCCTGGCTACATCAATTTTTTCCTTGTTCTCATTTACAAAATCATCTTGTCAATCGGAGAGCTTGAATAAATTGGGTTAAGGCTCCACTGTAAATCTCGTGAAACTTCAATATCTTTGATTCCAACTTGCCCACTGCTTGTTGTCACCAACTCTTCCCTTAGTAATTATCCTGAAAGCCCGCATGGGCCAAGACAGCCGCCCTCCTCATGGAGCATATTTGCGCCGCCGTATATGAGGGAGAGGGAGGTCCGATTCCTCTCGCGGGAATTCGTGAACTCATATTATATCCGACTGCTTAGTGGGCCGAACTAAGTAGTGGGCCACTTAGACAATAGAGAGCCATGCATATATGTATGTTCTATAGTCTTACCTGTAGGTTCAAAGGGATGTATAGGAGCGTCTGAAAACAAAAATTCAGCCAGTTTGATAGAGCTGATCACAAGCTGTGCTCGCTTTCCCACCGGCTACAGACACACCTAAAAAAGTAAACTCTCCACACAGTTAGATGTGGTATGGAAAGTGAAACTATTTGCATCTCTTTCAGAAACGAAGGATTGTTATACTTTCCGCACGCCGAGAATTTTCCGATTGGTCCGGGAAATGCCGAACCAATCGGAAAATTCTCGGCGTGCAGAAAGTATAACAATCCTTTTGCAATCCTTCGTTTTTTAAAGTACGTCGGAAAGTATCACATTTCATTTCACATTTAACTGAGTGGAGAGTTCCCTTTTTAGGTGTGAGAAGTGGAACATGTGTTTTCTTATTTTAGGCGTGGCACCACTTGCGGTAACTCGCCCATATCTCGACGACAGCTTGGCCCTTTCCCGACTTCTTGGGCTCAATCCACTCCTACTCCGGCTGGCTACACCTGAACGAGGCCTCACCCACTGTCTCCACGCATACCTCCTGACAATGCCCTCACACGTCGCGCAAGATTATGCAGAAGTCTGCGTGCTTGCCACCTGATTACCAGATGACACGTTGGTGCTGTGATTCCGACACTCGGTATGGATCATCCAAACGGCGAACATATTCTTTCTATGGGGCTAACATCATTTTATAGATGCTATCCGTGTAGCACTGTGGCTCACTACGTTCAAGGGCTGTTTTACACAAGCCCTAGACTTCGAGTTTTTTTGTGGGGATAGACGCACTCGGGGGCAAATGTGGTGAATGAGGTACGTTCATAAAGACCCTATGACTACGATATCAGCTTATTTTATATCTGCGACTCAACTTGGCGCCGTACGACGCCAAACCACCTGAGACCACACCCAAACTCCCGTATCACAGCAATACCCCATGTGCATTCACCTATGTCTACACGTCCATTTCTCTTCCTATATACTTGTTTTCTCACCTTGAATAAGATACTTTCATTATCCGAAAGCCGCTGCACAGAGTTGTGGCCGAATGCTGAGGTTTCACTCACTGGCCCACTAAGGCACCCCCCCCCCCTCCGGACTTCCCGCCGGAAAATATTCACAGAAACATCAAAACCTCACCAAACTGCATGCCTCCGACCTCGATCTGTTCGTAGGATCTTAGGCTACATTTCCAGGCCCGAAAACCCCTCATTATACAGTGTCCCAGTATGCAATATACCGAAAACCCTCTAGGTGGCCCAGTAACCAGTCGGATATAATAGCCAATCTATTTATTTATTTTTCCATTTTGTTTCAACATTGGGTCCGAGTCCAAAGTTGTTGTAACTACTGTAACACTCCTTCCTCCGGTTTGGCTGGAACGTATCTTTTTCTTTCTGTTATGTATTTCAGAAACCGGATCGCGGAACACCAGAGTGGCGGAAGTATGCAAAGTTGACAGAAATTCATTTCAAAGGCCGAGCCTCTGAGAGAGTCCTACATTGCGCGCAAGGCTCAGAAGTGTTCAAAATCCGATGGAAAGAAGGAAAACCTAAGCTGAGATTGGGAATGCCCGTATGAGCGAATGGCGCTTCACCCTGTCTCGAGGAGGAACAAGGGTCGCCTACTTATCAGGGAGGTGGAAGTTCGACTCCTCCCACGGGCATACGTGAGGTTTGGTAGCTTTTTTATTCATTCGACTGTGGTGGAAAGTTGTAAATGAAATCGTCTCCAGAGCCTTATTGTAACTGTATTGTACCTGAAGGTAGAGTTGTGCAGAAGATCAGACACCTTGCCCGAGCGAGCTGTGGGCCGCCCGGGCAATCATCATTTAGGTTTTGATGGTAAAAATTATGAAGCAAGGTAGTAGCGGGCCGTGCCGCTTGTAGCCTTAGTATTCAACCCTTGTATACATTATTCTATCCTGGCCTACACTACTTTGTAATGTTTTTCAATTTGCCGGACACGTGTCTTGCTCAACTTTTTTTATTGCGGAAATTTTGATTTAGGAGTTTTCTGTGGCCTCCGGAAATTCAGGTCAATGACGAATTTATCGCAATAGTACAGTACGAATAATTTAGCGTCACCCGTGTCTTGGGGATTCGGGAGGACGAGTTCGAACTTCGAGTCATTAATGTCTGCATTATGTGACCAGGAAACATCCGAGTTGAACCACCCCCATCTCTCTTCGGTGATTTATAAAAGCTTTTTTCACCGAATATTCCGCGGATTGTGGAACACCGTACCTTTCACGTTTTGTGCTTGCCGAGACTAGCCGATATCGACAAACAATCTCACGGGTGGCGAGACGGCAGAAAATCACGATTTTCGACGCCAAGAGCCGTACAACAGCTGAGAGTCATTGAAATTGAGATGTTTCATTCCGTATATACGCTTTGAATTTCCTTAAATTGGGTTCAGTACCATTCCAACGCAATGACAAGGTTAGGTTCGGAGACTGCGATGAAAGTTGATATCAGGAGACAATTATTGTCTTCGCAGTAGTCCATCACATACAGATGTCATTATCTACTGCGGGAACACCTGACAAATTGAACAAGCACCAAGTGTTGACTGAGAATGAGTGGGAGCGAGGCGGCCGACTCCGGCAATAATGATCCGGATCTCGGCAAACGCGCGGCAACACCGTGACGAAATGGTTCGCGCACCATGGAACCTTCGAACTTCGAAGGGACTGAAGGGAGGGGGACGTTCGGAGACAGGTTTTTCTCCAGATATGGAAGCACGCGCATGCTGTGGCGCCTGCAGTAATTCTAATTAATGAGAGACTCGATACCATTCTTTAAGCCCGTGTGGACAACTGAAGTGTTACCCTGGTTTATATCAGGCAGGTGGAGGTTCGAATCCTCCCGCGGGCATGTATCGATACACGACAACATTTTTTTCAAACTGTACACTTCAAGTCGCGCAGTCTACCTTCGAATCACGGGAGGAAATGCGGGTCGAATCGAGAGGTTGATTTTTGAACGAGTTCGGGTCCTCCGGCGCGTTTATATCCATGCGCGGATGCTTGAATTCGGCACGCCCAATGCTCTTGCAGGAATTTCAAAATGTTGAAGACGCAAACTGTGAGCACGGACGGAACTTGCTCTCCGGTGAATTTCCTCGGCAGCCAGAGCCTGGCTACTCGTTTCATTCGCTATCCCGCGGGACGAAGACACCACGATCCAGCCACCCGGGCGCGGCGAGTTCATGTCGAGCATCCCGGCGTACATTCGATGTTGACGCAGAAGCCCGTGTCGACGAGTGGGGCGTCACCCTCTATCGTGGCGACTTCCGAAGAAAAGTAATGTTGCATACGAGGGAGCTGGAGGTTCGAATCCTCCCGTGGGCGTTAATCAACTGGCGCCATATTTTTTCAGATGTACAGGCTCGAAAGTTGGGTGACGAGAGAGCCAGGAGGGGGAGTTCGAGGCGTCGGTTTACTGTTAAGATTCGGGATGAAATTGGGGGAGGGGGGCGAGAGAAGGAAGAGGAAGAGACGCTGCGACGAAAGAGATTTGAATCCGCGAGCCAGAGAGGACTCGAATGGAAATCTGATTAGAAAAGATCATGATACCAACGAAGGGGTCAAACAAAACCAGCACGCAAGCACGGGAGTAAAATAATGACACCCGCTTTCATCGAGCCATTACGCCTCCCTACTCCACTATCTCCCCGGCTGCCAAGCTTCCGCCGTCACCACGCGCACCGTCCTCGCGGGTTCCACCACCTCGCCGTATATGGTCTCGCTCCCGTCGAGCACCCCCGTGTACGCGTATGGGCTGGGGCCATGCAACGACGCCCTGGGGGTAAAATCCCGTGGTACGCCTTGCGATTCGGAACCCACTAGACGCACCCGCGCATGGGGTGGAAACGCGGCGCGGACCTGGGCCGCGTAGGCCTGAAGGGCCCGGGCGCGGCTGCTGGGTTCGAGGATCTCACGCGCTTCGTGTCCCTGTGGTGCGGGGCGGGCCTGTTGCAGTAGAGATGTGGGACTCGGAAGGTTTGCGGGTACGGAAGCAAAGTCGGGTGGTGGTGGGAGTGGCGGCCACACGGCGGTGGGGAGAAATATGTACCGGAAAATGGCGTGGGTGTGCGCCACACAGGGCGACAAGTGTGCGCCGAGGGCGTTGCCGCTGGTCCAATTTCCGTATAAATATTGATGGATATACCGTAACAAATACACTTACCACTGCTGGCACCCAACACCGTCCATTGCACACCCGCATTCCGGGAGCGTACCGAGCCGCAGGGTCTTTGCCGCGCCCAAGTCAAAGTATCGCGCCTCCAGCGGGATCACGTTTGAAGTCACTCCCGCGGCTGGGGCGCGCCAGGTGTGCGCCATACTCATCGTCGCGCTTAAGTGAATCGGTGCGTCGCACCCAGTCGATCGGGGGAGCTGATTCAATTTCGGGAGTTGGAGTGAGGGATACGGAATAAAATAAGTATGTGCTCACACTGGCCCGATCCCAAGTTTCCGTGTCCTTAGAGGACCGATATCCGCAAGTAAGTGCAACCGTGGGATAGACATGGCGGTTCGAGGAGGGGGCCTCGGGAGTTTCGGGCGACATGGGCGGCGCAGAAGAGGGCAGACCCGGCAGCCTGTCGAGACATAAGAGTTGTGGCGACGCCGTTTAAGCGCCTGTTGTGTCAGCTCGGGTCTCGGCCGCACACCCGATTCACGTGAGTGTGATTTGTCATGGTTCAACTCGGCGATGTAGCCTATATTCTTCCTGCACAATCACAGGAATCAGAGACAGCGCTACTGTTCTGTCAGCCCGTGTGGACTCACCTTGCGATCGTCCCATTACAATGGCGAATAGAACGAGAAAGCGGAGGTTCGAATCCTTCGGCGGGCTTGATCACGATTTTGACCTTTCATTTTTCTATCCATTCAGGACGCATACGGTGCCCGGAAGGCGAGACGCAACCGTTCTGAGTACGTATATTGAGTGCTATATGAGAGCTTGATTTGTGTAGGTTTTGTTTCACCAGCGGATGTGAGATTCGGACAAGCAGTTGATAGGATCAAATAATATACAATTACACGGGCTTGCTCTGCTGCAATCCCGACGACGTACTACTACAAAATACGCTACTTATATACATATTAGAGATGGTCCGTGCACTCCTAGGTACCTAAATAATGAGTCACACAGAGTCAACATGAGTCAAACATGAGTCAAAGGAATTGACTCGGACTTTGTACCAGTATTCCAACAGCGGAATCTGTGGCAAAGTCAATACGACCACAATCATACAAGCCTGCGTGGACGGCGGCGCGTCACCCTGATTCCTTGGTGGCGATGCTCTATATCATATTACAGGGAGATGGAGGTTTGAATCCTCCCGTGGGCATGATAGAAACGGATGACGGTGCTTTTTTTTTTTTCAAAAATCGTTTGAAAGTTGGATCTAAGGCCCCGACAGCCGAATTTCGCCCGTACAATACCGCGGATGTGCAAAGAGGCGAAAATAAACGTCTGCACACCTCTTGAATCGGTCTCGGGGTTCCGCGCAGACTCTCCGCAGATGGCTCAATTTTTGCATTCAATGATAATCTATATAAAGGTACCTGCGAGCCCGCGTGGATGACGGCGCCTTACCCTGGATTATTTGCGCGTACTATTGTTCGAGCTTCGACTCCTCCCACCGGCTTAGTGTTGCAGTGAAAAAAATGCCTTTTTTTCTGTTGTATTTACTAAAATAATCGAATGGGAGTACACACTCTGTGAGAGCGTGATCGTGGATGACTTTTATTCTACGACAGAAAAGCGGCTTTTTAAACCATGATGGTTACCAAACCTCTGAGTGGACGAATTGATGACTCGTCCTGTCCGTATATTCGATTGTCCTCGCAGGCATACCTCGGCAGCTACAGGACATCTATTTCTTACATTGGATTGCAGCTGAGTGTAAGTCTGTTTCGCACATGGTACCATTCCATGAGATTTCGAATTTTCTGTCTGCATTCCTCAGGACAGAATTGAGCTTGTGCAAGATGCAGAACCAGACAATGAAAGCCTGGGTGGGCCAAGGCAGCCACCCTCATCTGGTGGGTAAGTGACACCGGGGTACATGAGGGAGAGGGAGGTTCGATTCCTCTCACGGGCATTTGCGGGAACTTATGACCTTTTTTTTTCCTTTTGCTTTCTTTCTTTCTCATTTTGTTTCAACATTGGGTCCGAGTCCAAAGTCGTTGTCCACTGTAACACTCCTACCGCCGCTTTGGGGCTGGAATGAATGTCTTTTGTGGTTCTTTCTTTCTGTTTTGTATCTTGGCAAACGGGTTGGGGAACACCGAGAAGAGAGTGTCGGAAGTATGCAAATTTTACCAAAATTCATTTCGAAGGCCGAGCCTCTGAGAGAGTCCTACGTTGCGCGCAAGAGGGTGTTCAAAGTCAATCTGAATGAACGAAGCAAAACTTAAGCTAAGACTAGGTAAGCGTGTGGACGAATGGTGCGTCACCCTGACTTGCTGAGGAATAAGCGTCGCCTACTTGTCAGGGAGGTGGAGGTTCGACTCCTCCAACGGGCAAACGAGAGGTATGAATCTATTTTTATTCATTCGATTGTGGTGGAACGTTGTAAATGCAGTCGTCTCCGGAGGCTTATTGTAACTGTACAGTACCTCCAGGCATAGCTGTAGAGAATGCATCAGGCACCTTTTTTACCGAGCGAGCTGTGGGCCGCCCAGGCAATTACCATTTAGGTTTTAATGGTAAGAAAAGGTGAAGTACGGCGGTAGCGGGCCGTGCCGCTTGGTGGCCTTGCCAGCGTTGTAGCAGAAGATGGCTGATTGGATTCAATATCCCATTCTATCCCAGTCTCCAATGCTATGTAATAATTAAATATCGTTCAATTTGCCGGACACGTGTCTTGCTCAACTTTCTTTATTGCGAAAATTTTGATTTAGGAGTTTTCTGTGGCCTCCGGAAATTCGAGTCAATGACGAATTTATCGCAATAGTACAGTACGAATAATTCAGCGTCACCTTGGGGATTCGGGAGGACGAGTTCGAGTCATTAACGTCTGTATTATGTGACCAGGAAATATCCGAGTTGAACCACCCCCATCTCTCTTCGGTGATTTATAAAAGCTTTTTCCACCGAATATTCCGCGGATTGTGGAACACCGTACCTTTCACGTTTTGTGCTTGCCGAGAATAGCCGATATCGGCAAACAATCTCACGGCTGGCGAGAGGGCAGAAAATCACGATTTTCGACGCCAAGAGCCGTACAACAGCTGAGAGTCATTGAAATTGACATGTTTCGTTCCGTATGTACGCTTTGAATTTCCTTAAATTGGGTTCAGTACCATTCCAACGCAATGATAAGGTTAGGTTCGGAGACTGCGATGAAAGTTGATATCAGGAGACAATTTTTGTCTTCGCAGTAGTCCATCACATACAGATCCCATTATATACTGCAGAAACACCTGACAAATTGAACAAGCACCAAGTGTTGACTGAGAATGAGTGGGAGCGAGGCGGCCGACTCCGGCAATAATGATCCGGATCTCGGCAAACGCGCGGCAGCACCGTGACGAAATGGTTCGCGCACCATGGAACCTTCGAACTTCGAAGGGACAGAAGGGAGGGGGACGTTCGGAGACAAGTTTTTCTCCAGATATGGAAGCACGCGCATGCTGTGGCGCCTGCAGTAATTCTAATTAATGAGAGACTCGATACCATTCTTTAAGCCCGTGTGGACAACTGACGTGGTACCCTGGTTTATATCAGGCAGGTGGAGGTTCGAATCCTCCCGCGGGCATGTATCGATACACGACAACATTTTTTTCAAACTGTACACTTCGAGTCGCGCAGTCTACCTTCGAATCACGGGTGGAACTGCGGGTCGAATCGAGGGGTTGATTTTTGAACGGGTTCGGGTCCTCCGGCGCGTTTATATCCATGCGCGGATGCTTGAATTCGGCACGCCCAATGCTCTTGCAGGAATTTCAGAATGTTGAATACGCAAACTGTGAGCACGGACGGAACTTGCTCTCCGGTGAATTTCTTCGGCAGCCAGAGCCTGGCGCCTCATTTCATTCGCAATCCCGCAGGACAAAGACTCCCCGATTCAGTCCTTCGGGTACGGCACGTTTATGTCGATGATCCTGGAGTGCATTTATTCGATATTGACGCAGAAGCCCGTGTAGACGAGTGGCACGTCACCCTCTATCCGTGTATACTGCTGCCAAAGAAGAGTAACTTTCTATACGAGGGAGTTGGAGGTTCGAGTCCTCCCCTGGGCGTTGATGAGAATTATGTCTTTTTAGATGCATAGGCTAGGCACGACGAGACAAGGAGGGAGGGTTCAAGGTGTCGGTTTATTGTTGGAATTCGGGTTGAAGTTGGGAGGAGGGTACAGAGGAAGAGGAAGAGACACGGCGACGAGAGAGAGATTCGAATTCGATCTCGAGACGAGGCAGAGGGACTTGAACCTAAATCTAATCGGATTTTTACAGACACTAATATTTTCACTTTCAACTGCATTGTTCACGTAGTAGAGTGCACAACGCAAATATGGCGACGATGCAACCTCACAAATAGACCTATGTGTACCTTAATGAAGGACTGGAGCATTATATCCACATCCCCCCTTGTAGGAGGAGATCTGCTTGAAAAGGTAATAATATTATATCACATTTTATACAGGTTGAGTAAAAATAAACGGGGCACGAGAAGAAATGCGGAATTCCGGCAGTGCGGTTCCGACTATATAGGTTTCAAAGAGATACATTCATAATTGAGCCCGCAGTGAGGGAAATGGTCTAAAAATTCAAAAATGTCCCAAAATGGAAAAAAAAAACGGCCGCGCCCTATGTTCTGCAAAGGGCTGCAATGCATATATTAACAGCTCTCTATCGTGTTCTAGGTATCTAGGAGACGTGTAGAGCACACTGGACCGAAGTGCCGTTTAATCACACTCTCAAATATGGATCCATCACGCGTCTTTCGACCTCAAATTGACTGAGATACTTTCAAAAATAGAATCAATCATTTTACACTACAAACGGAACATATTCATTCTTCATGTCGATGCATTCATCCCTTTTACCCCATATTATCGGGGAAATACATGATTCTTGATAGATATTCGGTGTCTTGGCTTGCCTTGAAGCTGCAAAAGCATTCATTATATCCCAACTAGTACATTACACTCAAAATTTGCCCATATAACGCCTACTGTGTGCCCTAAACATCGCGACGCATCTGGAGTACGAGTTGTGACGTCCGTGACTTCCATCACGGGTCGCATCCTTTACGATCAAACTGCACCAGATGTTGTTTTGGCATCATTTTCTGCCTCAAATTTGAAACTCCGATGATCCCCCCGCACCGCCCTAACGAGCCGAGATTACAGACTGTCACATAAGAGTTGTGGCGACGCCGTTTACTGTAAGCGCCTGTTGTGTCAGCTCGGGTCTCGGCCGTACACCCGATTCACGTGAGAGTGATTTGTCATGGTTCAACTTTGCTGTAGATCGCTTCTGTGCTATCTAGCCAACACTATTCCTTCACCATGAGGGGGAAAACCTACTGTTCTGTCAGCCCATGTGAACTCACTTTGACTTTGCCAGCTACATTGGTGAATGGATTAATTGAAGGCAAATTGCAATGGAGGTTCGAATCCTCCTGCGGACTTACTGCATTATCCTGCGTCCATTTTTATCTCCATTCAGGACCCATGCGGTGCCCGGAGAACCAGACGTGTTCTGAGTACGTGTATTGAGTGCTACCCTGAGAACTCGAGTCGTGTACGCTTAATTCTCGTAGCGATTCAATACAATTATGATCGTACGAGCCCGCGTGGACGACGGCGCGTCACCCTGATTTCTTAGGTGCAGCCACGACGATATTACAGGGAAATGGAGGTTCGATTCCTCCCGTGGGCATGGTGGGGAAAGCTCGTGTGATTCTTTTGTTCTTTTTAAATGGTTCGAAAGTTGGATCCAAAGTCCAAACAGCCAAATTTTGACCGTACAATACTGTGCATGTTCAAAGAGGCTAAAATGACTACCTGCATGCCGCTTGAATACGTCTGCGGGAGTTGAGCCCGCGTAGACTCTCCGCAAACGGCTCGATTTTTCCATTGTATAATACTCTGAGGAAAGATACCTGTGAGCCCGCATGGATGAAATAGGACGAGCCCATCTTAAGTTCCGAGTGAAATCATTGCAAACGGAACTTAAGTTCGGCGGAACTCAAGTTCGGCGCCGATGCGGGCGAAGCCCACAGGGCACCTGGGGTGGCTCCCTTGCCATACTCGAGGAGCTTAAGTACTCCTTGAGCTTAAGATCCTCCCGAACTTAAGACCTTCAAGGCTGGTAGCCCATAACTGTGGTTCAATTCAAATATACACTGCACTTCAGTTCCACAAGACTTGATCACTTAAGTCCGAAAGAACTTAAGTCCGAAAAGAACTCAAGTGTGTTTTGGAGGACCACTTAAGTTCCTGAACACTCAAGTGCCGCCCGTCAACTTAAGTCGCGTGTGGCACGATCACGTGTTGTCTATTACAGTGTCCGACGCTACTGCTTCAAAAATCCTTGTACACTCTATGTAGTAGACCCTAAAGCCCAGTAAATAAGCAATGAACATGTTGATTTGCTGGTGGCACTCACCAACATCCATCCACTTGAAGACTGTCGCGCCACCCATTGATAGTGATGGTCTGGCTTTGGCCTGAGGCCAAAAAGCCGGGGCTTTTTGGCTTTGGTACCAAGGCCAAAGCCAAGCCAAAAACTTGGCCTGGGTTGGCTTTTGGCCTGGCCTGACTCACTGTCAGGCCAAAGCCAGGCCAAAAAGCCGGGGCTTTTGGTTTTTATTTTTGATATATTTCCCACTGAAATACAACTTGATTTTGCGTGATTTGGTCGCGTCGCGTCGCGTCTGCCGCTCAGGTGATAGGTGGCGGTGTGAATCGATCACTCATCAATCATCATTCATCACTGCACACGCCGAGACTTGACTTGTTTGCTACGTTCGCCGCCGTTCAATCTCGAGTTCAGGCTCTGGGGTTCGCAAGCTGCGTTCATCCCTATCCATTTGTGGGCGGACTTCTCATGAAAGCTTTGTTTTTCACTCTGGGGCTATTATTCTCTCTCCGTATCTGCCCAATGGACCTAAGTTTTTCAAGTATCCGCATTTGCTGGCTCGCTTGACTTTCGGTATCAACTTTGAGAGACCACCACGCGCTCCTCCATGCTCTCTCCATGCTTTCTGTTCGATCTCCACACCTTTCCTGAATTTCTACATGTGCCTTGTGTCGGATTGCGCCAAGGAGGGTGTATATATATATGTACAACAAGTCGACCATTGAATCAGAACCTCCCTCCCACAATGCCCCCCCGGGATCCTCCTGACCAAACCCTCGTGTTGCCCGGTGCTCGCAATCGCAAACCGTCCAGCAAAGTTCGCGAGACTGCTGGAGCCCCTTCTGATCCTACCTCTCAAGGCGACGGTAACAATGGAACTCACAAATCAGCAGGGAAAAAGCGAGCTGCGTCTATGTCAAACACGGACTCGGGGAGTGATAAACGTAATATTTCATAACTCAGATATCTAAGGATCCTCAAATTAACTAGGCGCGCGAACCACTGGATCTCATTCCCCGATAGAGGTGGATGGTCCGGACGATATGAATTTAACAGGTTCTTGTGAGTTGTTCAATTGCGATTTTGGGATGTGGATTGATGCAAACATTCAGCATCGGCGAACCACAAGTCCACTGGGGATCCTACCGCTGTTGATGCGGACGGTTTCCTTGCCGATATCGACGTAGCTTCCATTAGCGGAGCCAAGAAACCAAAGGTCGACGGTAACAAAGATCTTGATCATTTTTTCGGGGAGAAGTTTCAATTCAAGAAGCCGGATTCCAAGTACCACACGCGCCGAACATGCTTGAAGTGTCCCGGGTACGTTTTTCTCGCCAGAACTTCCTTTTTTAACTTGCAAGGGTATAGCGGAAAGAAGAGTATTGTTGCGGAATCCACAACCCTCAGACGTCATTTGGAGGCAGAGCACTACGTGAGTCAAGGCTTAATTGGCGGGTTGTATCGTAATGTCTAATTTTTCATGCAGCAAGCTTATAAAAAGTGGGCGAAGGGCGCCAACTTTACCTCCGCTCTTCCCGGGGATCGTAAAGCCCTGAAACTGGCCACCACGGAGGCGCTCCAACCTCAGGCAACTCTTGATTCCCACCTGAAGGAGATACCGCCGAAAGAGAGGGTAATCCCTTATTCGCATGAAGTGTTCCGCGAAGCAGCCATTGAATGGTTAGTCGCCACTGACCAGGTGAGTCTCGTATTCATTCGATTGCTCCGCTGAACTCGCACGCGTTTCAGCCTGTCGATGCGCTCGATCACCCGAAATTCCGAGAGATGATTGATATCGCCGCCCGCGCAAAGGACGGTGTCCGCATCCCCGGGAGAAAATCGACTCGGGAGGAGATTATCAACTTATTCAAGAGGCGCATGGAGCACTTGAAAGAGAAACTCAATGTACGTGTTTCTCAATAATTTATCTCATATATTAATCGCCTCAGGGCCCGACGGTCACTGGTGATATCCATTTGACGGATGATGCCTGGACCGCGTCGAATGGGGACGGTTACCTCGCTGCTTCGAGCCACTTCATCGAAGAAGTTTCGCCAGGTGTATGGGAGTCTCGTGAAGCATTGATCGGATTTGTACGTCTCAACAACGCCCATAATGGGAAGCGGCTAGGGCAGGCACTGTACAAAATTGTTGCGCGGCTGGGAATTCAGAAACGGGTATGTTTCGAAACCTATCTCACCAGCTTCACCCGACACGAATATACTTAGATTGGATATATGACGACCGACTCCGCTCCTAATAACGGCACCGCCGCAGTCGAATTTGCAGCTCAACTGCTGATGCGCGATAATGTTGTTTGGGACCCAGCGGAGCGCCACTTACCGTGAGTACAATCCATTTTTTATTAGGCTGTTTCTTACCTGTGTTCCCTTCAGGTGCATGGCCCATATAATCAACCTGGCGACACAGGCCTTGATATCAACTTATAGTAAATCACCGCATTTCGATCCCAAAAAACCCGAAGCTCATTTGCCCGACACATCCGCAACTCTTCGGGATGAAATCGGGCTTATCCGCGCAATTGCAGTGAAAGTACGTACTGTGGTTTCTCGTCTGCTTCCAGTGACGGAACTGCTTCCAGGAGCGTTCGTCCCCGAAGCGCAAGGAGATCTTCAAGGGCCTCCAGGTCAGCG